GGTGGAGCCCTCCAAGAAGCTCCAGGAGAACATCTGCTCTCGTCACCACGAGGTGATGAAGATGTTCTGCCGCACTGATCAACAGTGTATCTGTTATCTCTGCCCTGTGGACAAACACAAAGGCCACGACACAGTGTCAGCTGCAGCAGAGAGGACTGAGAGGCAGAGAGAGCTGGAGGGAAGTCGACTAAACATCCAGCAGAGAATCCAGGACAGAGAGAAGGAGGTGAAGCTGCTTCAGCAGGAGGTGGAGGCCGTCAATGGCTCTGCTGATAAAGCAGTGGAGGACAGTGAGAAGATGTTCACTGAGCTGATCCGTCTCATGGAGAAAAGAAGCTCTGATGTGAAGCAACAGGTCAGATCCCAGCAGAGGAGAGAAGTGAGTCGAGTCAGAGAGCTTCAGGAGAAGCTGGAGCAGGAGATCTCTGAGCTGAAGAGGAGAGACGCTGAGCTGAAGCTGCTGTCTCACACAGAGGATCACAACCAGTTTCTGCACAGCTACCCCTCACTGTCAGCCCTCAGTGAACCTACACACTCATCCAGCATCAACATCCGTCCTCTGAGCCTCTTTGAGGATGTGACGGCGGCCCTGTCAGCAGTCAGAGACAAACTACAGGACGTAATGAGAGAGGAATGGACAAACGTCTCACCGACTGAAGTGGATGTTTTACTGTCAGCAGTAGAGCCCACCACCAGAGCTGGGTTCTTAAGATATTCACAGGAGATCACTCTGGATCCAAACACAGCAGAGACACGGCTGGTATTATCTGACGGGAGCAGAAAAGCAACATTCATGGAACAACATCAGTCTTATTCTCGTCACCCAGACAGATTCACTTCGTATTGTCCTCAGGTCCTGAGTAGAGAGAGTCTGACTGGACGTTGTTACTGGGAGGTGGAGCGGAGAGGGAGAAGAGTTTGTGTAGCAGTCGCATACAAGAATATCAGCAGAGCAGGGGAAGTGGGGGAAAGTGTATTTGGACTGAATAACAAATCTTGGGCATTAGATTGTGACCAAAACAGTTATTCATTTCTTTACAACAGTATCAACACTCCCGTCTCAGGTCCTCAGTCCTCCAGAGTAGGAGTGTACCTGGATCACAGAGCAGGTGTTCTGTCCTTCTACAGCATCTCTAAAACCATGACTCTCCTCTACAGAGTGCAGACCACATTCACTCAGCCGCTACATGCTGGAGTTCGGCTTTATGGGTATGGGTACACAGCTGAGTTTTGTAAACTGAAATAGCCTGAAGTCATTTGAGGAACTCTTCTACTTCTTAAACTCACCGTGTGTCCATCATTGTTGCTGAGAGCTGATTGCTCATGTCTTCACTGCACAGAGATCAGCTGTCAATCAAACATGATGGGATGTGCTTTAACATCTTCTCACGAGTTGTTCTGTGTCGTGTTAAATGATCATATAATCATTTAAAACATATAGTCTTATACTCTGATTGCCTTTTACTCTGTTCAATTGTATTTGTAGTCTTGTATGTGTTTAACAGAGACGTGTGTTCATGATTTAAAAATGTGTTGAATATGGATATGGATGTATTTGTGTGTTGTTGTTTCTCTTGTAAAGTGAGTCTTTAGAGAGAAAGCACCAGAGCTTCTTTCATTGGAGATATTTGATTCTAAAGGTTTTTAATTTGTAACTAAGTCTAAATGTGTTGAATGCATAAATGAAAGTTTGAATAATGCAACAAAACAAATCAAAAGAAAAGTCATAAAAAAGAAAAGCCAACAGGTCGAGTGCCACATGTCTGTATATTTTGTAATGTTGGGGTTTTTCTTGTTAATAAAAGAACTAAAAGGACAAAAGTGAAAATCTCTGTCTTTTGCTTTTTTTAATTATAAATATATAAATTATTTTTCTGAAACAAGATATTTTCATGTTTTTATACATATTTTATTTATTTGTAGGATTAAGAAAAATCAGATGAAACCAGAGCTGAAAAAGGTGAACTTGTACAATCTGAAAAAGGCATCTCTTGCTAAGATCAATAATGGAGCCTGAGGCTGGTGAGCCGTTTCTCCAGCAGCAGCAGTTTGATGTCAGACCGGTCCGACCGGAACAGGAAGGAACTCCTGCGTCACGTTGTAAACCTTAAAGTCACACAGGGAACATTGAGCTTCTGTTCTTCTGTGGGTTTGTTTTGAGTCTAATGTAAGAGTATAAAGCGAGGCACACACACACCGCTGGCATGTAGACTCTCCGTTACAGTCTCTGTTATAGCTATGAACTTTTAAGAACTGATAACTGTGACACAACAAGATCCTTCATTGGGGATGCTATCTACTATGGTAATTGGCAAAGCACCCAGGGCACAAGGCCACGAGACACTGCATGCAGATGTACTTGGTTCTTCGTGTGCATGCAGCATCGTTACATTAATTACATAATTACATTATAATAACATAAGTATATTGATTTACGGCCCAAAAAGATATTGCAGATGAAGTATTTTCAAGAACAACAGTAGCAGTAAAAGTATGAATTGTAGTTGAAATATAGCCAGTGATGCATGACGTCCACATTAGTGGACAGATGATTAATCATAATTTCCTCCCAACATAAAATCAATACTTTGACAATTTATGAATGATATGATTCCTTAGTTGTTACTTGATGTCACCAACATTTTTATACCTGGCAAGATATGGACGAGTGACTGGGGCTGCTTCTCACTTCTCTTATTTTTCATTTCCTCGCTCCTCGGTCTCGGTATCACCAGAAGTTGATTTGTCTGCGCCATCTTGAGTCGCGTCCTATAGAGAGGCGAAGTCCCGCCCATCTACTTCCGCCCCATGGGACCTTATTTCGGAAAAATTATGTATTGAAGTCAATGTGGAGAGAAAGATTATCTCTCGATCCCGTTTTAATTGTGCCACGAATTACACACATGATGTTTGTCAATCTTAAAAAATCATTTCCATGTCAAAAAAGTCACAGTTTGTCGTAAAACTGTTGAAATATAAGACTATGAAAAATACGCAACTAGAAAGACTACAAATCCCAGAATCCCGGTCCCGCATGCTGGCTCTTATGAACCGACTAACTCCCCTTGTGTGTATGTACAGCTCTCAACATGCCCAGACTTGTAGTGATTTTCACCTCTTTTAATACTTTCCGCCTCATTCTGAAAGAAAGAAGTGAAATGTGCCAACGTGACGGCCGTCTTGGTGTGTGGTGCGAGACGGGAGATGTAGTTCATTGAGCGGTTTCACACAAAAAAAAGTGTTACTTCACAGTTTTACGACACATTTTTATTTTTTTTACTTGTAAAATTATCTTTTAAATTGACAAACATCATGTGTGTAATTCGTGGCACAATTCAAACGGGATCGAAAGATAATCTTTCTCTCTCCATTGACTTCAATACATACTTTTTCCGAAATAAGGTCTCATGGAGGTCCCCCAGAAAGGGAGGGGCTTCGCCTCTCTATTGCCCTTATTTGTGCCGGAGAACCGAGGAGCGAGGAGCGATAACCGAGGAACCACCAGACCATCCTCCGGGGAAATCCTCAGATACTCGCCCCGCCCCCTTACTGTGTATCGCTCACTGATTGGACGATGCAGCGCATGCACTGATCTGATGCTTCTTGACATGAGAGCAGTTTCCCAGCGGAGTGAAGAAAACACATGAAACTCACGAGACTCACTCCTCAGTCTATACTGTGTTTTGTTTCAATTAATGCATCATTCAGTTACAAATATGTGATATATCTGAACAACAAAGTGGTCAATCCAATGAATGTTAATTTAACTGGGTTTTGATAGATAACATATCTCTCTTTATTCTCTCAACAATATTAATCAAACTATTGTTCGTTTACACATTTTAAGAATGGCATTTATCGTTTTTGAGAATGAGTTCTTCTTTTATTTTATTTCCTTGGGTCTACAACAGATGATACAAATGTTAGTCAGTACATGTAAATGCGATTATCGCTCCTCCGTTTTTAGGATTTATTTGATAAATACTAATAAAATTGAACAAAACGAAAAAACGAACGAAACGTACCATCCGGTACGGTAGCCGGTTTGTCCCAAAAGTCACCCGACATGAACACGGAGCGAAATTCTCAGTAGCTTCATTGTATTTTCTTTATTTTGTATTAATAACCACAACATGTCATCACCTTGTGGATGACTTGGTGACTCGTAGCGGAATAGAGGACCATCAGACAGGCGGTTTGTTGGTGATAAGACAGTATTGACACTCCCGTCTCAGGTCCTCGGTCCTCCAGAGTAGGAGTGTACCTGGATCACAGAGCAGGTGTTCTGTCCTTCTACAGCATCATCTCTGAAACCATGACTCTCCTCCACAGAGTGCAGACCACATTCACTCAGCGGCTACATGCTGGAGTTTGGCTTTATAATTATGAAGACACAGCTGAGTTTTGTAAACTGAAATAGCCTGAAGTCATTTGAGGAACTATTCTACTTCTTAAACTCACCGTGTGTCCATCATTGTTGCTGAGAGCTGATTGCTCATGTCTTCACTGCACAGAGATCAGCTGTCAATCAAACATGATGGGATGTGCTTTAACATCTTCTCACGTGTTGTTCTGTGTCGTGTTAAATGATCATATAATCATTTAAAACATATAGTCTTATACTCTGATTGCCTTTACTCTGTTCAATTGTATTTGTAGTCTTGTATGTGTTTAACAGAGACGTGTGTTCATGATTTAAAAATGTGTTGAATATGGATATTGATGTATTTGTGTGTTGTTTCTCTTGTAAAGTGAGTCTTTAGAGAGAAAGCACCAGAGCTTCTTTCATTGGAGATATTTGATTCTAAAGGTTTTTAATTTGTAACTAAGTCTAAATGTGTTGAATGCATAAATGAAAGTTTGAATAATGCAACAAAACGGAAAAAAAGAAAAGTCATCAAAAAGAAAAGCTAACACGTCGAGTGCCACATTTACACGTCTGTATATTTTTTAATCTTGTTAATAAAAGAACTAAGAGGACAAAAGTGAAAATCTCCGTCTCATGCTTTCTCTAACCCTTGTGTTGTGTTCGAAAGCTGTTACCGTTCATGGTGTTCACGGGTACATTTTGACCCATGATTTATTTCAGTCCAAAACACAAAAAATAAATGACTATCATCCAATATTATTTTAACTACATCATAACTAACTTATTGTGCATTCATAACCGTACAATCCGGCGGTACCGAAGTGGGCCGGTTGAGAGTCCCGGGCTGACTTGTAGTCCCTGTCCGTGGTGGGGCTCAAGTCAGTATTTGCAATGTAATTACATACACGCTATATCGCCCCCCTTGACAGTGAAACGCCACGCGTGAGGTTTAGATTATTTCCCTGTCTCAATCCAAATTGAACTGTATGAAATTATAAAAAGGCATATTTGTCTTGTAGTAAATAAAAAGGGCGACCTGGAGCCATTCCTGCAATTTCCCCACAGGTGAAAGAGTTGACATGCTGAAAACCCAACCCCTGCAGGGGGGTCTGGGGGGATTCTCCCACAGGAGATTTTTTGAAATACTAACATAAAATACACATTCTGGTACTCTCTTGAGAAGAAAATAAATAAATCTATTACTACACATTTAAAAAGATGAATGCCATTTTTGTTTTGTGTTCCTTTGTTCTGAAAGCTGAACCTGCTGCTCCTCACAGAGAGAAGAGGGAAGAGGCTGTGTGAATTACCTTACATTGTGGATAAGGGTGGATAGCCCCCATTGTTCTGTGTGTCAAAATGAAAGACAGCCCACACACAGATTTAATGCTGTTTTTTAAATGTATTCTGTGTATCGAATCCATGTATATGAATATGTATGTATGCATGTTCTGTATTTACATGTTCTGTCTGTTCCTTACCTAAGGAGTGTGCCGCCGTGGTTTTGGAGCTGAAGAAGCGTCCTAATCCCAGGTCACCCAGCTTCACCTCACCTGTGGCTGTGATGAACACGTTGGCTGGCTTTATATCTGACACACACACACACACACACACACACACACACACACACACACACACACACACACACACACACACACACACACACACACACACACACACACACAAACACACAAACACACACATTGATATGTTACGGCAAAGCTTATAAAATCATTGTAGGCTGTAGAGAAATGTACACTATGTCAAGTACACATTCCTTCCTGTGTTTAAATATTGATTGTACAATAAGAACAAAAGTACGAATAAATAGATCAAGTTTTTGCCGCTGATACCAATATGCAATTGCTGATGATCCATAATGAGGTTTTCTGATGGCTTTCATTCGAGCAGCTTGTACATTTATTGCGGCAAATATAAGTCTGACCCCTCAGTGTCTAAGGCTCTCCACCAGGGGGCAGCGTAACAAAGGAGATCAATGCAAGTGCAATTAAAGAACCACAAATAGTGGTGTTGGTTTCTTATCCTGTCAGAAACATACTAAGGTGAGGCCGTCCTTCAACCAGAAGTGTTCAAATGCTACCTCCTTTACGGGTTGGAAGACTCATTCCTGCACCACTCTTTTATGAAATGTGACGAGGGTGAGTAAATGGGTCAGGAGCTGCTTACCACGGTGCATTACTCTGCGTGAGTGCATGTGCTCCAGGGCGCTGCAGAGCTGCACAAAATACTTCCAGATAGTTCTCTCTGGGATGAGGCGCCTCTTCTTCTTGAAGTACTTTAAAGATAAAAAGGAAGCAATGTTAGTCCATAGAAAGTGACAATGCTAGATTCAAGATTCAAGGCTTTTATTGTCATGTGTGCAGTGGCGGCCAGTCCATAGGGGTGCTAGGGGCGCCGCCCCACCTCTTCCCATATTAAAAAATGTATATATATATATTTAAAAAAAATATATATTTTTATTTTTATTTTTAATGAACAAGGTAAATATTATATAATTGGTATCAGTAAAATGTATAATCTACAATAACATCTCGTCACATGTTTCCTGCTGGCCTTGCCCGTGTACCTTCTCTCGTCTGGGCGCTAAGAGAGGAGCCCTCAACCAGTGCAGCAGCAGCCACTAGCAGCTGACTGTTGCTATCTGTAATGTGTAAACTATGCCGCGAAAACATAATTTCAGCCAATCAGCGTCGTCAAATATGATGGTCACAGGGCTCCTACGTGAGCGCCCGGTGCAGTCTGTGAGTTGTTTGGACTCTTATCCAAGGAGACAAAACAGGAAGCTGTCATACACTCTGGAAGCATTAGCAGCTAATGAAAACTCCGTTTTTGACATAAAAATGGAATTATGGATCATCAATCATTTTTCAAAGTGACAGACACATTGGATGAACCTATGGATTAACCTTCAGCTGCGTTTTTCTCGTTTTTGATCAGAATTGTTATTCTGCAAAAGGTGAGCATATCTCCATGTTTTGCTACCTAAAGCTACGTCGTGTGATGTCTGTATTTGCTTCCCCTGTCACGAGTTCTGATCGCTCAGTGATGATACTTATATTTCTAGCATATGTGGAATCTCAGCTTGTAAGCTTGTTTGTGCATAGGCATATCCGATAAGTATATCGATTGATTTATACCTAGAGTGCGTTAGCATTTTTTCGCTCAGGGCTCATTTAGACGCTTCTTGTGAGACTTGTGTTTTGTTTCGGTAAACATGGTTCATATCATCAGTTAGATGCGTTTCCTCTGAGTAGGACACATTAATAGTTTATTACATTTTAAGAAGCCCTGAGACACAGTTTCGTGAGAAAAAAAACGGGGGAAAAAAGCCCCTTAACAGGTTAAATGGGAATTAAATCAGTGTTCCCAAAGCCCCGGTGTTCTGCAGTTTGTGTGGGCCTACTGTACTGTTGCACAGTTTATGCTGTAGAAACTATGTCCAGGACAAGGTGTTTGGAAGTTTTGGAAGATTCATAGCTAACCACACTGAAGTTATGGAGGTATTGATCAGTCTTCTCATATTTTTAAGCCTCAAATTGTCCTTCTCCCCCCCTCTAACATCACCAGAAGTCATGATTTAAGGGGTCTTTTCTCAAAAAAATATTACCGGGGGAGCATCCCCCCGGACCCCTCTAGTATTGTCTGATCACCATTTCCACAGCCCCACCTAAAATATTTTCCACCAGCCGCCACTGCATGTGTGCATAGCTACAGTTCTCTTAGGTCACAGACTCCTCCAACAGAGCAACACAATAAAACAGATACAATAGTGCAAGTAATACAAATAGAATATAGAATATAATAGAAATAGTGCAAGACTAGTCTATATATATATGTTTCTTATGCTGGTGTTATCTATTGTGCATCTTGTTTTTTATGTATTTGTACGGCGACCTTGAGAGCCTTGAAAGGCGCCTATATCAAATAAATGTATTATTATTATTATTATATACAAGTAATTGGAATATTGATATATAGACTTGAAGATGCTATGGCCCGTTCTCATTTCATCAAATGTCCCTCCTCGACTCCGTGACCCGGAAATGAATTTTAGCGCGCCATGTTGAAGGACATCTCATTTCTCGAAGTGCACTTCGAGGACCGAGCATCGAGCGTCGAGGAGGCTCTCTGGAGGAGCTATAACCGAGGATACACTGATGGGTCCTCCACGGCTCCTCCGCGGATGCATTTCCGGCAACAGAGATGTTTCAAAGAGTCGAGACGCACGGCCGGACTGATCTCAGCCAATGACAGCTCTGCATGCATCCCCTGGATATTATTTTATTAACTGCTTTCGTCGCGACGCGATGTTTACAGTGAGAACAGCTGTGAGGTCCGTGCAGAAAGCAGAGCAGTGTGTATAATATATATCACTCAGTATAACAGGCCTACTCTCTTGATTTGCTTTAGTTTAGTAGATATCTACAAACAAAGTCGATATTTTTCTAAAATCATTTAGTGCTTCACATAATAAAATACACAATGGCTGTATCCTGATGATATGCTTTAGGAGCTGTAGGTGCGTGTGTGGTGTAGGTGTGTGTGGTGTAGGTGTGTGTGTAGATGCAGAGGACAGACAGGTCTCAGTTGGTTTGGTGTCCTCTGCTTACTTGTAATACTTGTAAATAAAACTTTTGGCCCGTAATTTATTTCCCTCATTGTAGCGACCAGAGAGGGGGGGGATATATCCAGTCTCTGATAGTGTTACGTTATTATGAGAGTGCTCTGTTTGATTCTGAAATTGTATATATTTATATAAATATATACATATATGTGTGTGTGTGTGTGTGTGTGTGTGTGTGTGTGTGTGTGTGTGTGTGTGTGTGTGTGTGTATGTCCGCATCTGTAGCCTGTTATTGTCTCATTATACCGCACTGTGAATGAATTAAAAGTAAATATATAAGTCGTCATGAACACATCTATCCATCAGACAGAGGGCTGCTGTGCCTCCTGTCATCATTAATGGACGTCTCTTTAAAATGACCGCTCAGAGGAGAGGAGTTCTCATTTCTCTAACCGCCTGCTGCTTCCCCTCCTCTCTCCTCGACTCCTCTCTCCTCGGTTCCCCTCCTCGGCTCCTCCGCTCGCATCTCCTGTGGGCGGGACTAAGTCTCGAGGAGGGGAGTCGAGGAGGGGAATTTGATGAAATGAGAACGGGCCCATGTGTAGCATATGGGAACCAGGCCAAAACAAAGTGTTGCTCTCATCTCACATATTTTTAGTAGAATCATGAAAATGAATCTTGATAAAATACTAGTAATCAAATCTAACAAGTACGTTTGATGCTGCGTGTAAAATGAGTTGAGTTACGGACCGTCTACACAGCAGCGTTAAAAAAATCTTGAAACGCTTCTGCCCATTCACTTTGAATGGGGTGACGTCACTTTCCCTCACTTTTCGCCGAACTGCATTGTGGGCAGCAGAGCGGAGATTTTCAGGATTTTCAGGATTCAAAGTTGAACAATGTTCAACTTTTGAGGCTGAGGTGGAAGCGTCAGCCAATCAAATCCAGTGTACGCAAATCTGACAGTTCAAGCTCTAGCCAATCAAACGGCGTGTATGCTGGGAGAGACATACCGCAGGTCATTTCCTCATATTCCAAAAAATGGAGGAGAAATTAGCGGTAGGGAATCACCCGGTGCTTTATGACCAGTCCCTATTTACCTAACGGGATATAAACCGGAGGAGCCAGGCATGGAGGGAGGTGGCAGAGACAGTGGTAGGTTTTCGCCTGTTTGGGGAGTTTATATCCAGTTTACTTCGGGCTTTTTTGCTTCGTATGTCGCGGGCGGGAGATTCATGTGATTGGTTGTTCGTGCCTTGCTCGCAAAAAATCCTCAAGCTTCAGATACGCCCACCTCCAAGATTTTTTTAACGCTGCTGTGTAGACGGTCCGTTAGGGTCACTGTTCTTGTTTGATCTGAGGTGAGTCTGTGATCTGACCTTTATCATCTGGGACAGATCTCCAGCATCCTCCAGCTCCAGAACGATGTTGAGCTCGTTGTCTTCAATGAAAGAGTCCAGGTATTTGATCACATTGGGGTGATTCAGCTGCTGCAGTGGGCAAACAGGAGACACACATGTTTTCATGCTAACACAGCATGCAGCAGCTCCCACAAGAAGAAGTAGAGCTGAACTCAAAGTGATGCTCATACACTAGTTATCCTATGTTTCCCTTAATGCTGGAAACCTGTTATGGTGCTCTCACTGACCCCCTGAACACAATGATGGATCAACTTTACCTTCATCTCTCTCCTTGATGCAGTCCTGACTGGCCTTGGCATCCATCATCGCAAAGATCTGCAGTGACAAAGATTCAATAAATGTATTCTTTGACTTCTTTCTTACACTGTAAAAAGTTCAGCTTGCTATGAATCTTGAGTCCAACTAAACACTAGCATTGGTCAGACTCTAATCTGAATTATACTCAAAGAAACAAAAAAGCTTAAGCAGACTCTCACTCTTTATGTTCAAACCTTATCTTAACTAATCATTTAAAAGTAATAATTAAGTTCTGATCAGGATTGAGCCCCATCCCCTAAATCAAATAATTAGCATCAAGCACATGGTCCACATCAAGGGTGCATGCATGTGACATTTCAGAAGGACGTCCTGAAGCAGACTGCTGACGTCTGTGTGATTTCCTTTAAGAGAAACTGATCAATGATTCATTAACAAGTCCTTATTCATTTAACAATCCACCTTTAACCCTTCTGGCAAATAACTTGTTTCAGAAAAATAATTTAAATATATATTTATAATTTAAAAAAGCAAAAGACAGAGATTTTCACTTTTGTCCCTTTAGTTCTTTTATTAACAAGAAAAACCCAAACATTACAAAATATACAGACATGTGGCACTCGACCTGTTGGCTTTTCTTTTTTATGACTTTTCTTTTAATTAGTTTTGTTGCATTATTCAAACTTTCATTTATGCATTCAACACATTTAGACTTAGTTACAAATTAAAAACCTTTAGAATCAAATATCTCCAATGAAAGAAGCTCTGGTGCTTTCTCTCTAAAGACTCACTTTACAAGAGAAACAACACACAAATACATCCATATCCATATTCAACACATTTTTAAATCATGAACACACGTCTCTGTTAAACACATACAAGACTACAAATACAATTGAACAGAGTAAAAGGCAATCAGAGTATAAGACTATATGTTTTAAATGATTATATGATCATTTAACACGACACAGAACAACACGTGAGAAGATGTTAAAGCACATCCCATCATGTTTGATTGACAGCTGATCTCTGTGCAGTGAAGACATGAGCAATCAGCTCTCAGCAACAATGATGGACACACGGTGAGTTTAAGAAGTGCAAGAGTTCCTCAAATGACTTCAGGCTATTTCAGTTTACAAAACTCAGCTGTGGCTCCAAAATTAAAAACATCACAAACCCGAACTCCAGCGTGTAGCGGCTGAGTGAATGTGGTCTGCACTCTGTGGAGGAGAGTCATGGTTTCAGAGATGATGCTGTAGAAGGACAGAACACCTGCTCTGTGATCCAGGTACACTCCTACTCTGGAGGACGGAGGACCTGAGACGGGAGTGTCAATACTGTTGTAACGAAATGAATAACTGTTTTGGTTACAATCTAAGGACCAAGATTTGTCATTGAATCCAAATCGACATTCATTCCCTGCTCTGATGATATTCTTGTATGCGACTGCCACATTAACTCCTGCCTCAAAAATTCCTCCCCCTCTCCGCTCCACCTCCCAGTAACAACGTCCAGTCAGACCCTCTCTACTCAGGACCTGAGGATAACCAGTGAATCTGTCTGGGTGACTAGAATAAGACTGTTGTTGTCCCATGTTTGTTGCTTTTCTGCTCCCCTCAGATAATAACAGCTCTGTGTTTGCTGTGTTTGGATCCAGAGTGACTTCCTGTGAATATTGTAAGAACCCAGCTCTGGTGGTGGGCTCTGCTGCTGGCAGTAAAACATCCACTTCAGTCGGTGAGACGTTTGTCCATTCCTCTCTCAGGACGTCCTGTAGTTTGTCTCTGACTGCTGACAGGGCCGCCGTCACGTCCTCAAAGTAGCTCAGAGGACGGATGTAGATGCTGGATGAGTGTGTAGGTTCACTGAGGGCTGACAGTGAGGGGTAGCTGAGCAGAAACTGGTTGTGATCCTCTGTGTGAGACAGCAGCTTCAGCTCAGCGTCTCTCCTCTTCAGCTCAGAGATCTCCTGCTCCAGCTTCTCCTGAAGCTCTTTGACTCGACTCACTTCTCTCTTCTGCTGGGATCTGACCTGCTGCTTCACATCAGAGCTTCTTTTCTCCATGAGACGGATCAGCTCAGTGAACATCTTCTCACTGTCCTCCACTGCTTTATCAGCAGAGCCATTGACGGCCTCCACCTCCTGCTGAAGCAGCTTCACCTCCTTCTCTCTGTCCTGGATTCTCTGCTGGATGTTTAGTCGACTCCCCTCCAGCTCTCTCTGCCTCTCAGTCCTCTCTGCTGCAGCTAACACTGTGTCGTGGCCTTTGTGTTCGTCCACAGAGCAGATATAACAGATACACTGCTGATCAGTGCGGCAGAACAGCTTCATCACCTCGTCGTGACGAGAGCAGATGTTCTCCTGGAGCTTCTTGGAGGGCTCCACCAGCTTGTGTTTCTCAAAGGTTTTGAATTGAGCTACGTCATAATGAGGCTGGAGGTGTTTCTCACAGTAAGATATAAGACACACGAGACAGGACTTACAGGCTCTCAGTTTCCTCCCAGTGCAGACATCACAGGCCACATCTTCAGCTCCAGCATAGCAGAGATCAGCAGGAGCAGCTTGGAGTCCAGTCTTCTTCAGCTCCTCCACTAAAGCTGCTAACATGGTGTTTTTCAGCAGGACAGGCCTCGGTGTGAAGCTCTGCCTACACTGAGGGCAGCTGTGGATCTTCTTCTCATCCTCTCCGTCCCAGAAGCCTTTAATACACTTCATGCAGTAGCTGTGTCCACAGGAAGTCGCCACCGGATCTTTCAGTAGATCCAGACAGATGGGACAAGATAAGAATTCCTGGTCCAGCTGAACTCCTTTCTGCGCCATTTCACCTCTCAGTAGCAGCGAGTGTCTGAGTTTCACTTCCTGAGAGCTGAAACTATGTGAGCTGTGATCTGAACAGCATGTGTGTGTGCTGTGAATGTGGCCTATCAGCTCTTGTTCTTTACCCACATGTTGGTTACACCCATCCTCCTCAGTGTGGATCTGAAGGGGAGGAGCCAGGAAGTACAGAGTGGAGCTGGCTGTGTCTGAGAGCAGGAAGAAGAGGGAGGGCTTATCAAACTCTGACTCATTCCAGGAGGAGGAGCAGACACTCTGACCTGTTTCCTCATTTACAAACGGAGCCTCGCTCACAACCTGCTCTACATTTGAAAACAGTCTTCAGTTGTAAAATATGTGTTTTAACTTCAGGCTTTTGTAGCACACAGCTCCACACTCATGGTGGCAGTGGTGTAAGAAGTACTCAGATATTCTACTAAAGCAAAAGTAGAAATACTACGGGGTAAAAATACTCTGTTACAAGTAAAAGTACAAAAGCATTGGTATCAAAATATACTTAAAGGACCAAAAGTAAAAGTACTCCTTATGCATTATGGCCCTTTTCAGAATCGTATATATATATTGAGTTACTGGGTTACTATAATGATTATTGATGTGTTTTATCACAGTTAGTAAATGTAGAGATCATTTGAATAACTTGATGTCCTGCTGCTGGATATCTTATCCTATAAATATCTGTCAAAGTGTATTTAATAATTGATTTATATTTTGAATGATCTTCTAATCTATATCTAACTAGTAAAAGCTGTGAAATTAATGCAGTGAAGTAAAAAGTACAATACTGTCTTCTAAAATGTAGTGCAGTGGAAGTATATAGCAGCATAAACTGAGACGTATTGGCATCAAAAAAATGTGTTAAAGTTCCAAAAGTAAAAGTACTTACTGTGCGTAATGTCTCCTTTTAGAATCATATATATTGCATTACTGGATTATTTCATTCTTTATGCATTCATGTGTCTTTTCCATCCCTAATAAAGTGTAGGGGAAATGGAGACAGTAACACACAACAGTCAGGGTGAAAGTGAACACAAGTTTATTTATTTACACCAAAGAAAATGCCAACAAATGTTCTTTAAGTGAGGAGACAAAGAAGATTGTGCCAAATTAAATAAATGAATATAACAAAACTCAAACAAAAAGCCCTCACGATCTGTTCTACTAACAAGGAGACAAAACAACTACAGGGTGCAACAATCTACTAACCTAGTGTGTCTATCAGAGTTTAACTGCGTGAGGAGAGGTAGAGGGTACCCCAAACTTACCCAAATCCTCCACTTCCCACCACACACACATTTAACAATACTAAAAACAAGAAGACAGAATAATGACCAAATCTTTCAGAGACCACAAAGAGGCTCTGGAGTCAGCAGCAGGTCTGAGAGAGCGAAGGCTTCCTGGATCGCCTCCTTTAATGACCGGCCCTGGCTACCTTCTTATATGGAAATAAAACACTAATAGAAAAATATAATGTCTTTGATAATTCACTTTAACTAAGTTCTAAATGTGTCCTCTGTTAAGATGTTGAATTAACACCAGAATAGAATAAATTAATACATTATTTCTGATAGCAGTATGTGAAATTATATCTGTAGCTATATTATAAACTCTACTTGTATCTTATCAGTTAATTAGTTACAAAAATACATTTAACTCTTCCCTGGTTCTGGCAGAAACAGTTCTTTCTGAAATGTTTTGAGACATTTGGATGTATCCCTTTTAGTATGATAATTAGCCTGTTAGCATTATCCAGACAGCATTGTGTGACTTGTTGAACTGGTTTACCTGCATGTGTGGGTGTAGGCATTCCTTTTAGTGTGATAATAGGCTAAGCCAGACAGAATGAACACTTGTTCAACCTGCCTATCTATTCCTTCAGGTAATCTATTACAATATAATAAGCATATGTATTATTGATACATATTTATTAATGACTTTTTCCATTTCAGAATGCCAGCAGCAAAGAGAGGTCCTGGATTCAGTGTGCAGGATGTGATCCAAAAAGGAGAAAGTGATTTGAGATGGAATCAGAGGACACTGCTATGAGTGAAGAAGAGGCAGATGAAGATGCCTGTGGACAAAGAAAAGCAACAACAATCCATCCCTCACATACTTATGTATATATAATAACTTGCTTTATATTTGGCTTTTGTTCATTTGTAAATTCAACATGTATATTTTCTACTTTCTTGTTTATTTCTAGTCTTTTTTCATTTGTATTGTATGCCATGTCTTTTATGCTGCTGCAACACAACAAT